CAAGCTCCCTTCGGCCGCGTCAAGCTTATATTTTACGAAATGTGGTGACCGATGCATGTTGCGCGTCTTTTTTTAGGCGAACATCATGGAGCTGATTTATGGACCACCAACGGTCAAAACTCATTCGCCTGAACGCACCCAATTCGATATCGTTATATTGGTTTCAGTCTTCATGTCATGTTGGCGTGAAAGATGTCCTATCTCACGACCTCTATCGCGGAAAGCTCGTTATTGTTAGACGAAGTGCTTCAAGATGTAATGGGGCACCTCGATGATACTACAACAACATAATATACCTTACACTGCCAACACTGTAGGAAGGTGCATCGGACCTTGTCATACACGGCATGCATCGCAATCTTACTGAACTAACTAGAACACGCTAGTCATTGGTGAACGATCCCTATATCGAATATTGCGAATCGTGCCAATTAACCTTTGTCAAACCATATCTAACTATGGTTCTATACAAACACATTCTGCAAATATCTGCTGGCCACGTATTGCGCGCGACCACCACTAACAGGACGCATCGTTGGTGAATATAGATAACACGTATTGATCGATCCGCCGAAGTGGGTGAATTGTACATCCTGAAGTAATATTCGAGACTAATTTTCCCGAAGACTGTATTCGCATTGACACTTTTTATGTAAATGTCAAGTAACGGGGTTCCCCGTCACGTATGTTATAACGGGGCACGCTCTTACCAGATGACTGGTAATACCTTGTGTTAACAGAACACAAGCTGCGTACTCCCGACGTCATGTACACGTGGCGTGAGGAATCGCAAGGAAGTAAACAGAACCCGAAGCTCTGTTTAAGGGAATAAGTAGAACTGTATTTCATATAGTTAAGTTTCTTTAAGAAATCATCTTTGGCTTAATCTAACTATATTAAACTACAATCTCCTATGTGGGTTTCTTGCTCACCACCCATTACGCGCGCCCAGCAGCGATTGGTGGTTAGTCTGGTTGATGTACCGTGAACATCAACCATTAAGTGGAGCACCCAAAGAATATTACCCTCGGGGGTAATGTTCCGTCAACACCACCTCTGCCCGATTGATGTTGATTGAATATTATCGCAATCGATAATATTATAAATTGATATATTGGTATCAATTTTTATGTAAGGGACTCACCTCGTTAAATATGCGGCCTCTTTGAAACACAGTTCAGGTTTGAGGATGCTCTGCACGTTCTTATTTGTACCGTTTCTAACGGGTTCTGCCGATTAATATACCGTATTAAATTCCCCTATTATACCCTAACTTCTCAAAAGAGTATTGGATCAGGCAGGATACACTATAAGTTCACATATTTCGAAAAAAAATAATTTCTCTCGGATAATAAACGACGGGAGTGGTGTAGTAGTGCAGCAGGCTGTCAGTTACACAAATAGCCCGGGTTCAAACCCAGCAGCGATCACACAGATAGGACCCCCATAGGATGGATCTTGAACCGCCACGTAAGTCTTATTAATTCAGATTTATTGCAATGCACAGAAGAAAAGAGCTGCAATCACAAAAATGAAAAGCCCCTATTCAACGGTTAGATCGTCAAACTCATCTGCTATATTAGCACCATCTGCATCATCAGGGGCTCCTTCGTCAGCAATCACCCATTTACTCATGAAAGAGTCCACCGTACACGCCGTGCTTGGAAATGTGCCAGTCGCGGTAGTCTACAGCGAACCCAGATGCGGCAATTGACTTGCGGACAACATCGTTGGGGACAGCTTTCCATTCATTTCTGACCCACGCCACCACTTAGTCCACGCTCGGTGGCCGCGGATTTCTGTTCTTGGTGTACTGCACCCGATCAGATCTCTTCCAGTCGTCAATTACGCTCGATAGACAACCTTAAAACGACTTGAATATTGCGATGTCCCCTGCCTGCAGTTTTGGCGTTAGACCGCCAAGAAAAACCATCATATCAATCTTCTTGCTGATGCACTTCGCCTTGATGTCCTTCGCTATATGCGCTCGCATCGAGTCCCACACGATCTCTTTGCCGTCGCAGAAGTTCAGAAGCGCTGGAAACATCAAGTCGATCCACTTAATGAGAAGCTCACTGTTCATCCAGGCACGCTCTTGATACGCAACGTAAACCGAGACGCTCTTCTGGATCGGTTTTTTCGCGCCAATCCATATCAAAAGAGGTGATAGCTTTGTCCCCGTTGATGTGACGGGAAGCGCAACATGAAATCCGCATCGAAGCGAGCCCTGTCGACCGCAAAACGACATGACGTGCGCGGGTAAAATCCACAGTGTCGCGCCGCGGGATCTCCAAAGAAAACTGCCGTCTCATCTATCGGGAGCGTGCCGCTGGGGTTATGCTTGCTCTTTTTTGATGGGAGGTACGTAAGAAATCGCACGGCACGCGCAGTGAGCCCGTCGTTACTTAATACGGTGAGGTTGGTTGTCCGTCGGAGAGAGAGGCCATAGCGAGTCATGAAGCGAGCGAGTCATTTGTCCGATGCGCAAAAGTCATCGTCGTCCAGCTCATATTTAGCGAGCTCGCGTGCGGACACTTGAATCCACTGACGCGACACCTTATCCTTATTCGATCTCAGGAAAACGATTTGATCAAACAGGACATCCTTTACCTCGCCAAGGCGTGGGTGTCTACCGCCAGACAGGTGTCACACGCAGCTTCAGCGCCGGGGAGTTCATGATAGCTTCGTCGTTCTTCCACCAGTAGCGAATCTGGGCCCCTGACACTTGCCACCCTCGCTCCGCTTGAAAGTGATTCAATGCGCGCGTAGGAACCCCACCACCAGGACCTTCGATCCACTCGATCACTTCCTGCTTCTTGAGGTTGGTCTTGGAAACGCGCCTGGGTGCCGTGGCGTGCACTAGAGGATGAAAAGTTTTTATGCGAAGAGAGCTTTATATCTAGTGATTTAAACGTATGGAGGGTGAACGGGCTTTTCTGAGTAACCGCTACCAACCATTTATCTAAGGCAGTAATTGCTCAAAAATGATTTTTTACCATAACAATATATGGATACCAATGGGCACGGTATAATACTGTTTGTGTACCTTAGAATGTGGTTAGGGTATTATATTCGGACAGGGTATATTATCCGGCAGAACCCGTTCCTACACGCTAGTCGTCTTTAAACTATAGACGCATTTTCACCACCAACCTTTAAGATACGACCACCGATGCACTATCGTGTTGCTCCGATTTTGCGTCAACATTACTTCGAACAGCTTTGATCAAGTCATGCGATCCTGAATGTAGCTGTTTTAGCTTGATGCCTCTGTTGTACACCTTACTCTCTTGCTGGAAGTACAGACTGTTCTGCGGCGGACAGTCTGCCCTTTTTCGCTACTTTTGTATTTGACAGCATCTCAATGACTAAGATGAGAACTCCAATCAACGCAGCACTGATGTGCGTGTGGTCTAAAAGCTTGCTAAGCGAAGATGTCAGTTGAGACCATTCTCGCTAATAAACAGGTATTTGGTCACCACCAGCGGCATAAGCACACATACCGAGTTGTGACATGTGCTTCTTTTTACAACTATTTTATCCATATTGATGTCGGGTCGATTGCAGCGACATTTTGCCGATTCTTGCTTCGATGCGGGTCTTCCAGAGATCTTCCTGCGTCTGTGTATCGCGCTGTATATAAAGTCGTGAGCCCAAATATGTCGTGCAAGGTCGTGCGCGCAGTATTACGTGCAAGTCGACGATGTTCTTCACATTTGCGTAATACGACTGAAACGTGATGATGGCGACACTGTGGGAGAGAGCCGATCAATCTTTACATAAGATTGTTGAGTGCAGAAATGGTGTCATCGAGGGAAGTAGGGACCAACCCTTTACTTTTGAAAGCGGCTGTATTGACTTGGCCTTATAAATTCTTAATTATGTACAGACGAGGGCTACATATAGAGGCGCAACGGACGCGTTGCGGTAAAGTTAAAAGGCGATGAAACTTGTGACCGTCATATACGGCTCAAAGTGAGCACCAAAAAATGCCACGAAGAATATGGGTGGGAACAAGCTTGCTAACATCACGCGTAGCGAGAAGTCGCGGAAACCGACGCAAGACGACATCACCAGTACGGTCGATACGCAGAACCTCGACTATCGGATCAAGATAGCAACAGGTACAGATTCCTTGCGACGGATGAAACGGAGATGGGCAACAGAGGTGGTTAACAGCCTGAAAACGTGCTGATTTAGAGAGTGAGGCCGACGGTGCTCGAATACGGTGGCGTTGCGCTGGGTAATAAGGGGCCAGCTCTAAGTAGCTTTAGCATTTCGAATAAAGGTTTATCGCGGTCTAACGTGTTGAATGCGGAGCCACAACCAGGCGTCCCTTTTACCGTAAACGACATGCTTTTTCTTTGACGGTAGTAACATCTGTGGTAATGTTGATGGCCGGCATCGACCAATCGAAGATGCAAAAGTCGGCCTATCACGTCATGCCACTCACACGTTCGTTACGGGCCCATAATGTGGCGTCGAAATATGTAGACACGTTAACCCGAGTCAGCTTGCCCGTGTTCAAGCTACAACCCAAACTCGATCGTGGAATGTAACGACATCGTCCTAATTCCTGTATTTGCTTCCACTCGACGTTAAAATGACGTGATTGTCGCACGGATTCACCAGACACGTCAATCGTTAACAGCAAGTTAACCTGACATGCAACGTCGCATCGCACCGCTCAACTCCTTATACCACAATTGGTGCCGATCAAGTCGCCCTTGACGAAAAGTATAGCAAACGACTGCAGACGACATTTATTTAACTAACAATAAGAAAGTGGTCGAAACAGCGAGTACGATTTCAGTATACTCGAACTCACACCCAACTTACTACATCTCGGCACACTGCGGCGGATCAAAGTTCAGTTTTACGATAGTACAGATACATGTCAACCGAGCCAATAAATGTATCAGCCGGTCGTACGTCGGCGTCAGGTGGATGGTGCATGGACTGCGGACGCCTCTAGCGGAGACTATGGCACACATCATCCATCAAGCGACGCGGTGGGGTCGCGGGACAACCGCTTTTTTCTGAATCTTGCGGAAAGTCCACAGGATGACCCAAATACACACAATCTGGAAAATGTGCAGCACGTTGACCGAGCACTCGACCAGCTCGCAGTGTTTGCCATTTGCACATTCTAACTCGATCGGCGTGTCGTTCGTGCGGGCAATGGCCATGTACATTTGGGCCGCTACGACGACCACCGAGCATGTCTCGACGACAAACAAAATCTTCTTGATCTTGCCAACGTGGCCCTCTTGAGGACGGTGCTGTGCTTTGCGATCCCGCATCACGGGCGTACCGTCTTCGTCGTCGCTCATGTTCATGTCAAACGACCGGTTCGACATCATGCGGTCGGACCGTAGACTCGGTACGCGCAATTTCAGCTGTCGCTCGTACTGCTGCAGGCGACTCAAGACGCGTAGTCCGTAGATGAGGAACACGGTGCTAATGATACCGAGCATACAAGCGCTCACCGTGAGCTGCATGTAGACGAGGCCCTGTGGATTGAACCCTTTCGACAGAAAGAGGCACATGTCGTACAGGACTTGGAACGTCCACACCACAGCAATAGCAATGCTCTCTAAGCACACGAGATGCGGGGGCTTGTCCGTCACGGCCGCACCGCGCTGAATGATCGTCGCCCAGTAGCCCAGCGCCATGATACTGCGCCATCCACCAACCAACCAACCAACCAACCAACCAACCAACCAAACGGGCAAACAAAAGTAAACAAACACATGAGTCACGTGAACGACAACCGTCGAGCTTACAAGCAGGAAAAAAAAACACACACACTCAGTCGAGCGACCGTAGAGCAATAAGACTTACTACACCGAGTAGAGCGCAGCAGTACACGTGTCCGCGAGGAAGGCGCTGATCGGGCGCGGGATCACATACCCGTAGCTCAGGGGGTCTGCGCCCCGAATGACCATAGTCACGGCCCCGTAGCAGCAAAAGAGGAAGCTGTACTGCTGCAGCAACGCCCCTTCGTGCTTCACCGAGCGGACGTAGAGAATGACACTGGCAATGACGCTCACCCCTCCCGTGGCCAAATACACGGCTTGCACCGTGTGGTACGCGCTCGGGTTGTACGACGCCAGCGTCCGCGTGCAGCCATCTTCCGAGTACGCGAGGCCAAAGTCACACGTCGAGTCGGTAATGTTCACCATAGAGCTCCACGAGCGACTGGGAGGAGGAGCTCAGTCGCAAAAGAAGAAGAGGACGAGGCGAAAAGTTCGGGGAGAAACACGATCGAGGCGTCTGTCTCCACGTCGCAGCGCGCAGGGAAGGAATGACACACCTGTGGCGGACGACGATAATGACGACAACGACGACGACGACGACGACGACGCGGGACCAGAGCGTGAAGAGAGAGGGCAGTCACGTGGTGAGGCCTCAACAAGTGCGACGCGTTGGTTCGGCTCTGCACATTGGGGTGGCGGCTGGCTCGATAGCCAGTGCTGGCAAACAGCTGCCACGAGCGGGACACGTGGTTTGTTTACACGCTTCGAGCGACGGGATCAGGTGGGGATAGAGTGGGGAAGTGGCGGCTCATGCCATACGGCTGCATCACGCGCGACACGACACGATGCGTCGAAAAGACAGGCGACGACGGACGCGCTCGAGCCGTTTGTGGTACGGACCGACCTGCTGCTCGCTCGGCTCGACCGAGCGCACGAGCTGAGTGACAGCCGGGCGCGTGACACGCGAGAGCTCCTGGGCGAGCGCGGCTTCGGTCCTTGTCGATCGTGAGTCGTACCGGATAGTTCGGACGTGCTGAAGCCTGTCCATGCAGCTCGGCCGAGACCCAGTGCGAGCTGTCGCATGGAGCTATGAGGGGGCACAGTGGTGCAAGTGGTGGTCGTTGGTCGTGGCTGGCGGAGGTGCGATACCGGCCGATCGATCGCCTGGCAAGACGGGCCGGCCGCACTGCTTTCCCGTGCGCCCGAGCTGATCGGGCCTGGCTAAACCGACCTCTGTCTCAGTCGTGCACTGGCGACTTGGGCAGAACCGCTGCGGGACGTGCACCAGTGCAACGCGTTTGTTGACACTTGCGGCACACTGGCGGCGACAGGGGCTACTACGAGACCCCCTCGTGCACGAAGGGAGGGCGTCTACCTACGGTGGAACAACAACTGCTGATGCGTGCAGTTGTGTCGTTGCTGGGTCGATAGCACGGAGCGAGAAGCGATGTTGGTGAACGCAGCAGATCGTGAACGCCGCTCCGTTTGTCGGAGATGCTGTCGCTGTGTGGCACGTGAGCCCTTTACTTGCAAACGTAGAGCCATTGTCAGGTGGGGCACAGCGACGCTACTTGACAAGTTTGTGGCAGAAAAAGGTGGTAAGCTCGTGGATAGGAACGTTTGCATCGAACATCGCAGACTCATTGTTAGCCTTCGAGTGGGCGTCAGGTAAGGCAGACCCTGTAGCTTTCCATGGCACGCACGTCTTCCTTCGCGATTAAAAGAGATCGCGCCGACCGATATGCACACGTCTCTTGACACAGTGTTCTTCTTCGCACGAGCGCCACAATCGGACATTTCTAAGCGCGTGGTTTTCTTCTCGTCGTCCATTGTGTGCCCTGCAGCAAAAGAGAGAGCCGATTTTACTTACCTTCATCTGCCACGTTCGAAACACCGGTTCAGGCGTCTGGTCGAAATCCACTACTAGTCAGTAAGAAGACCTCGAAAAAAAAATGCGCTCGCATCTGCTAAAGTCGGAGCAAGGCATTCCTCCCGAACGCAAGCAGATGTCGAGCTCCCACAGGAAAGTATACAACAACAACAACAACAACAACAACAACAAAAAAACACATACACACAGATGTATACCAGCGCCATTTCATCCACCTACAAATAAAGTCGTTTCTATTGCGCAAGCGCAAGCCACCCACTCCAGACCCCCTCGCTCTAAAAAAGCACTCGCTGCGAAAAAAGAAAAAGAGAAAGCAGCTCGTCGGGTCCCCCCCTCAATCCTCAAGTCACCACCTCAAACCCGAACTTAAGCAGAAAAAAGCACTTGCGCCCCACTTTCTTTCTCTTCGTCCCGCGCCTCCGCTACACTCTTCGCGTAGCTCCTCCTGACATTACGAGTCGACGGAAGGCCCCGAACGGCCCCCAACCCCTTGAGCCCCCGGCCGCCTCTGTTGTCGCCCATCATGATGAGCGCTGCGACGACCGTAACGATCAACACCGACAGCGTCGGCGGCGACAGCAAAGCCGCTGCGCCGCCTCCGCGCTCGTTCCTCCAGAAGGTCAACGACGTGAACAGGATGGAGCTGCCCACGCTCTTGCGCTACATGCGCCTGGGCAACGTCCTGTGCTCGGTGCTGCAGATCCTCGCGGGCGTCGTGGGCATCTCGTCGTTCATTACGCTCAACGTCACGGGCACACTCGTGTCCGTGTACGTGCTGATGTTTGGTGTGCTGTTTCTGCTGTTTGAGTGCCGCCTCGCGCGCATGGAGACGGCCATTCGCGCGCACTTTGGCTTTCTCTACAGCTACAAGGGACGCGCAGCGTTCATCTTTTTCATTGGGTTCCTCGACTTTGGCATTGGCTCAGCCTTTGCGTCGCTCGCGGGGCTCCTCATGTGCGCGAACGCGCTGATTAACCTCCTGGTCATGTGCCGCCACCCGCAGTTCAAGTCGTCGCTAAGTGCAGACGCCGACCCGACGGCGGGGTACACCACGGGCGGTCAAGAAGCCGCGACGTTTATGAGCAAGAACCCAGAGATCGCTGCAAAGGCGGGGCAGTATGCGTTCCAGCACGCGGCCAACACACGTCACTGAGGGAGGGAGGGAAGAGGGGTGGCAAGTGCAGGCACAACAGCGCAGTTGCGAGGAGCTCGGGGCGTGCGGCTGGGGCGTTGCACGGGACTTTATATACCGAAGCGAATGGCTCTTTTTTTTTTCTTTGACGTTGGAGACGACTCAAGCCCACGCACACACACAGCTGTGTGTGTGCGTGCGTGGGCTTGAGTCGTTGTTGGATGCAGTAGTCGGTTGATGGGCTGTTCTTCAGGCGCACGTGCAGCGGCTTATGCTTTCTCGAAGCAAAGCCGAGCTGGACTTTGGTAGTGAGCAACGTATTATTGCGCTATCAAGATCCAGATACGAAGTCATGTTGACCACTGTGCAAGATGTTGTCGGATGCGTAAAGTCGTTGTACGCTACAGACGACGGCTGTTGCAGCAGTTACGGCCAAAGACAGGTATGTAAGTCTTGTGTCCATCTTCGATCTCGAGTGACGACGCAGGACCAGCAATGAAGGCAGAAGACAAACGATCTGCAGAAACGGTTTGTCGTCACTGAGTCGTTGGTGGCTCGAGAAGTTGCGAGACACTGCGTTGTCGACGCGCATTCGATTGTGTCTCAAATCGAAGTTGAGGAAGGTCCGTTTTGATCGCTTGACAGTACAGTGGAGGTGCGATCAACACAGGCGACGCAATGCTGTGCGACAATGCTCAGCTGCAAGACACTCGTCATGTCCATCGTCAACGAAGTCTTTGACGTCGTTGTTCCAGAGCATAACACCGCAGCTGCAAGTGAAGGGGTTTGCGTTGCTCGCGTCATGTTTATTGTTGCAGTACTTTTGACGATCGAGTCACAAAAGATGGAGTCCACGACGAAGCAGCCGATCTGGTCGATATGCGCAGGTCGCTTCTCCAACACAACGTGTATGTCCGCCCTTGCACATTTGGTTAAGATGAACACAAAGACAAACAGTCCGTGGTCTCACTCACTCAGATTGTACTCTACTTGCATGCACGGTCATTGGACATGCATGGTTTCTGTGCTCAGCGAACATACTTCTTCGTCGATAATCAACGTACTCGTTACCAGGCATCGTATGGAAACAGTCGGCGTCGCGTTTGCACTCAAGATGGTATCGCCTCACCCGAGTTCGTACAAAACATGCAGCTCGCAGAACGCACACTTTAGCGATGCCATTGCGACTCGTTACACCATTGCAGTGGTGCATCTGAAGTCACCGGCTTCCTATTTCGTACTTCGACCGGTGTTGTAGTATCCATCGGGATCAAGTAGACATGGAAGCGGAATGCAGGACGTTTTTGATGTCGCCATGTAGCAGTCAGTACCTTTTCGATACATTCGGCTGGCAAGCTACATAGACTGCTCTTTGTGCACACCACCTTCTGCGGTGAGCAATCTACTGCACGAATGCGTTGTATGCGGTGTTCACGCGACCGATATTTTTTGCAAACGCCAGTAGACATGGAAGTTGTATCGTACTATTTTCCAACACTCCGCTGCGCGCAGGCGAGATGATAATGATGCTGTGGTGAACCGACTAGTATTAATCTGCGTACGAGACAAACTCTTGCAAATCTCAGCACATATTGATGCTGTGGTGGACCGACCAGTATCAATCTGCGTACCAGACAAACTCTTGAAATTTCAGCTCGAATTGATGTCATCTTTGACTGCTTTTCGCTTCTCAAGTGGTCTCGAACGTGCCATGACGACGCAAGTTTACCGTTGGGCTGATTTGGTAGTCTGAGCATGTGCGATTTGTACCTGGACGGTCATGCTACGGTAGTAGCTGCATGGCCGAGTGAGTTTCCAATCAGCCGTAGACGTCCTACACAATGCTTCAGCGTGCCGAAGATGCAAAAAAACAGCATCCGAAGTGTGCCACACGTCCGTCAGATGTAACCCCGTGGCACGAGTAGACGAAGACGCACAACACTGGGGTCAGCTTGTGTTGAATCCAAAGGTGCTTGGATGTAGTCGAATCGGTAGATGCACACTGCGTTTGCCGTATCACCGTCCTCGTGTGTCTGACCCTCTGTCCTTCGAAGCTATTTATTCCGTCCGTTTTTCTGTTGCTCACTAGCAGTTGGCCAACGAGTCAAATGCTGGAGAACATTCCTGGCGCACAATCACCCTCTACCAGGACTATCATGTCTACAACATCAGCAAAAATAGTTTTTTGGGTAAATGTAACCTGCTGCAGTATGCACGACTTGCATGATGGGCGACAATAGCCGGTGACGAGCGTCAGGACTGGACGGTACTGCAGGTGCTCTGTTTCTCAGCTCGACCATTGTTAGCTAACGAGGTTCTTCGCTATATTCTTCAAATGAGGTTCCTTCCTATATTCAATTCAACGTCGTGTCCCCCCCCGTGAACTCTCCTACAACCCGTTCTTCCAGCCGACGTGATCCACGTCGCGATGACCCCCGCACACAAACAATACATTCAGTAAGCGGGGGCGCTCAATTCGCGCACAGTGCATTCAAGCGGTCCCTTGACCGGCAGCGTTACGCTATAGTCGTAGGTGATCGCAAACGGGTCCTCCACAGTCTTGATGTCGAACCGGCTCAGCAGCACCGCCAGGACCGTTTGCATCTCGAGCATGGCAAAGCGCATGCCCACACACTGGTGCGGACCACCGCCAAACGTGGTAAACTGAAACGGATTGACATACTTGACCTTGCCAGTATTCGCGTCAATCCAGCGATCCGGGTTGTACTCGGCTGCATCTTCGCCCCATACCTTCTTCACGCGTGCGGCAGCATACACAGATGTGACTACGGTCGAACCAAACGGCACAAATGTACCTTCGCAAAGCGTCGTCGACCTCGTGGGTTTGCGGTGAATGCCCGTCATGTGTAACCGCAAGCTCTCCTTGAGGACGGCTTCGAGGTAAGGAATCTTGTGCAGATCGTTCATCGCCGGGGCCTGTAGCTCGCCCGTCATGAGCTCCGGCAGGTTCTCACGGATCTGTGCCCGAAGCTTCGCGAGCACACGCGGGTGCCGGTTGAGGTTTACAATGACCCACGCAATACTAAAGCTCGTCGTCTCTTTGCCTGCTAAGAAGAAGTTCATCATTGCATCGCGCAAGTCCGACAGCCCCGTCTTGCCAGTGTGGCCCACAAACAGCGTCAGCAGGTCCGTCTTCGTGTTCCAGTCTTCGGAAGTCTTGTCCGCCATCGACTTGAACAAGACTTCGTTCACCAGGTCCGTCACGACCTTGACGCACCGCTTCAGCATACGCTCGTCCCCAATGTTCAAAAAACGTTTGAGTTTCCAGAACCACATTGGCGAGTGGAGTCGCGCGCCAAACACAGCGGCGTAGCCGTCGACCGCCTTGATGAACGGGTGGTCCATTTCCGTGTTAATGTCTCCATCCAGACCGTGCAGGTCAACGCCAAAGCCAATCTTGGTAAACACGTCGCTCGAGAACTTGCCCAGCAACGACTTCATGGGCGCCACGCGGTGCTCCCGTGCACACTGTGCCAGCACGTCCCGCAGTTTAATGGACTTCTCCCGAATGACCTCGTCCATGACTTCCCGCATCATCTTCATGGAAAACATGTGACTCGCAATGCGTCGCTGCTGAAGCCACTTGTCCCCGTCGACACCGGCCAGTCCTTCGCCAAAGATATCGTGCTGCAGGTCCACGAGCTCTTCGCCTCGACAAAAGTTGTCAAACTGCGTCTTGAGCACATCTTCGCAGGCTTCGGGCGACGTGAGGATGAGCGTCTGAGGACGTCCGAGGATGCTGAGGACCCAGGGCTTGCCATCACTCAGTTGACTTTGCTCGGCCATCCAGTCCTGCAACCGGTCGCGCTGGAAAAACATCACGTCCAGTGTGTTCCCGAGCAGTGGCAACGTGGACGTGGGGCGATGCAGTCCCTGTCCATCCAGTGCTTGAGTGACCTTCCGCTCTTTGTACACGGCAAGCAAGAGCTTGTAGCCCACAAAGTAGAGACCACTGAACGCCCCCAAGGCAACCAGTGCCAGCCAGTCGTTGGTTATGCGGTATTGAGCACTGCCCCACATGACGTTGCAACAGTCGAGTGACAAGCACCGAGCGGAATGGGAAATGACCAGAGACCCGCGAGGTCTGCGCAGGTTTTCCCTCACACATCAGTCGATCGCCGAAGGTAGTGCGACAAATGCGTTCCCAGCATTTGTGCAGCTTTTCTGTAGCTTGATTGATTGATTTCGACTGCTGCTGCTGCTGCTGTTGTTGCTGTTGTTGCTGTTGTTGCTGCAGCATCGGTTGGCACTCACTCGGGTATTCAAGTAGCGACATGAAAAAAGAGCGGCAGATGCAGGAGACGAAAGATAATGGTACCGACTACCGCGACCGCCAAGTTAGATATAGACGTGGAAGATGAGTGTAATGTGATATCGCACTCAGCTCATCGATCCAGCAGACCCTATGCTGCTGATTGCGGCGCGATGACGCTGACAATGCTAAGTTGGTAACGGGCGTCAACACTTGTCCGTTTGTCTTCTCATCAAAAGTCTATTTCGAGTAATCTCTTACCCGTGAGGTCCATCGGTGCAGAAGATTCCCGATCGTCAGTCTACTTGCAAGTTCATGCAAACGACATGTCGCACAGAAGGTTCTCCGATCCTGGATGTAACAGTACCGTTGCGGCAACTTGACGGAGCTGATGCTCGTCCCAGCGCCAAGTGTCTCGTTGGATCTCACAACGACACTCCAGAGGATACAGGAGGGACCCAGGCGTCGCATACGGCTCTGGCGGGGTGCTGTTCGGCCTTGCGGGTTTGCAATGGCCTTCAGCCGACGAGTACCTGTTTCCCAGCATGACGCTTGATGTTACAGACGCTGAATCTTTACCCAATGCCCCCGCCGTACGACGCTCGGTCCACCGACAGTGCGGTGCAACGATGCCATTGAGGTCCATCCAACAGCTTTTCATTCTCCATTCCATCTGTCCTCTCTTCCTCGATCTGCGGCTTTATTGGGTAAGTGCGTGAACTGCGTCTTCGACGGACTTGTGCTGGCCATGGAAACGTTGGCAGATCTTCTAGACAAGCTTGTTGCAGTCAAGGAGTGACGACAGCAAAGACCAGCTTCAAGCGTCACGGGTCTCTAGTCAGTGGGTGCCGCCTTTCGTTTGCCGTTGACTACACTAGTTCGTCGTCAAGTTGTGTGAGCCTCCTCTGTCTCGTCTCTCTACGCCGTTATGGGTACACGCGTTTCACGCACATCGATCGCACGTCTGGAATAGCCCATGCGCGTTCCTTTGATCGTTTCGGAAGCTTCAGAGACTGTGCACCTCCATCGATCGCTTGAAGCGATCCGCGTAAACACAACTGTTGCGCATCGTCTGGAGCTACTGGGTTCGGCTTTGGTCGCAATGGTTGAGCGTGTGGGGTTCAGAGATCCGTTAGACGTCGTCGGGGCCTCTGACCGACGAGGTCATTTGGTCATAGAGTCCCGTGACGCCTAACGAATCTCGTCACGAGCTATTCAACGGTAAGATCGCGATGCCCGACCCACGATTCACTTGTCCTTGTTGAACGTCATCAGAAAGCTGCTGATTGTCGTGGCGTTGATTGCCGTTTCGTTTGCTTCGGCAACGTGCGAGCTGCCAGCTCGACGACGCGCATCTAGTGGCTTTTTGTCGGTACTTCCTTTGCTGATCGGTCTTCAGCATAGACACCATCATGTCCGCACTTGTCATCGATGATAACGTAGTACCTCAACTGCCAATCTTCGCAGGCGATTGTCGATTAGCGCGGGTCAGGCACCTCACTGCGTACACATCGACTGCCTCGGAACAATCACAAGAAATAACTAACCTTCTTCGATCGTTGGAAGTCAACGACCGACTACCACCCGATCGTTGTGGCTGCTTTGCGTCGTACTTGTCGAGTGTGAACTTGATGGTTCTCTAGCAGTCAGGACACCACAGACAGGCAGCCGGCCACTGGTGCTACATCTGGATGAGCGCCCTGTTTGTCGTGAGCTGGGACTGCATCTCATTGCAGGATCAGACCTGTCACGATGGGCTGCATGCCTAAATCAGCCAGTTTCTCGCCTCCGGCAAGGCGCTTGAGCACCGCCAGGAGTCTCTTGTCCACCTGAGGATTTGCAAAGCTTGCAGCGAAGGTTGACGCCTGCACCCAATCCATCACGACCAGGCAAGAGAGCTCAGATTCTGACAATCGACATGCGTGCAAGTGACGGATTACTCCCTTCCTCCCTGTAAACACTTTGTGAATTTGAAATACGTTGGTGTTGCATGTCGAGCACACCACGCCCCTGGCGAGCCACTTCGGTGATCGCACTCCACGCGGGGGCCGCGCAAGCGGGTGGAGGGAGCCACCATCGCAGATGGTGAGCTCCTACGGAGAGATATACGGACGGGTTGGCGTTCCCCACGCCACGCAGTCACTCTCGGTGATCGCACCTCCACGTCGAGGGGCCGCGCAAGCGGCTGAAGGGAGCCACCATCGCAGATGGTTGAGCTCCTCGGAGAGATATACGGCGGGTTGGCGTTCTCCACGCCACGCAGTCACTTCGGTGATCGCACTCCACGTCGGGGGCCGCGCAAGCGGCTGAAGGGAGCCACCATCGCAGATGGTTGAGCTCCTCGGAGAGATATATGGCGGGTTGGCGTTCTCCACGCCACGCAGTCACTTCGGTGTTCGCACTCCACGTCGGGGGCCGCGCAAGCGGTCCTAAAGGGGTTTGTTGCCTTATATGGCAGCATACCCGCGTTGTACGTGCTGCCGCTCCGGCGGTACGCATGTCCCCAGTCTACTTGGTCGCGCCAGCGGTCATGATTGACTCGTAGTTGGCTTCGGTAGGAGGGTCTCTGACCTCGTTGCCGTCGCCCCTGGCTCTACGGAGCCCTTAAGTTGTCGACCCGATACCCGGGCCGTACTTCTTGTCACACTTATCAGTCGTTAGTTATCATAATAATGGACGTACTTGACACCACCACCATGTCGAGCACATCGTCGGCTCGCTCCTACTGACGTGTGCATGTCGCATCGTCACGCCGACGCAACGGAATCGAAAGACAGCCAGCTACGTCTTTCCCGCTAGTGTGTCGTCGACCTGTTCGGAGACGCTCCTGTGCAGATAGAGTGCGATTTGAGTGGTAGTGCTCCTGATCAGACTGAGGCACTACCATTGACGCCATTTCATTGTCGATCCTTTTTGACTGCTTTCGACCTCCCCGACCAACTGCGTCGCTTGACCGATCTGGTGACAGAGACATAACCATTCATCCTCACGTTGGGATGGCGTTTTTGGCAACGACCACGACAAAGCAAGAGGTACTAGTGCCGGCTGTCGATGCGATTGAGGAGAATCGGACTATTCGGGCAGCCGTTCAAGACCCGAGTGTGTCGTGGTCAGAGCAACTTTCGACACGACCAGTGCGCTTGAGCAAAGAGTCTGGTGATCCCACGCTACCAACAACGACTCACTCTTCGACCTTTGCCAACGTGCGCAAACAAGTAGCACTTCCCGCACTCAGCCGATGGAGACAGCAGGTCTCGAAGTCACAGCGCATCGATGTAGTGACCACTGCTCGTGATCCGAGATGCAACAGCCCGAAAAAAGGTTTCAAACAGCTGCGATAATAGTGGATCATGAAAAGCTGTTGGAAAATAGCTCACGATGTTTTGGAAAGCTACTCAGTTAAAGCGACTTGCGAGGACACACTGCCCACGCAATGGACCTCCTGAAGTAGGTCGATGACATCGGTCAGGACGTGACACTACCGCTCGAATATAGTCGTCCACACTCTTTCCGGACTATTTTGTGCAGTTTAGTCCGTTTCGCTGAATGCGGTCGCAAACTGCTGTACCCTTTCTACAGAAAATCAAACTGCGTCGCATTTGTTCGTGTGAATCTGACGTGGCACTGCAACGCGACAATGTACGACTGACCTCGTCGCCACCCGATTCGATCGGAAATGATGTGGAGTCTGAAGGCGCTCGAGCGAGCGTTGCCCCCCGCTCTCGGCGCCCGTGCGGCCTTTGCGAGCTCTGCCGCGGCGGTAACTGCTGCAGCAGCATTCGAAGGTGTGCGTCTCAACAACTTGCGTGACAACGATGGCGCCCACAAGCGCAGTAAGCGTTTAGGTCGCGGCATCGGCTCCGGCAAAGGCAAGACCTCGGGGCGCGGACACAAGGGACAGAAGGCGCGCTCGGGCGGCGGTTCTGGACGTGGTCCTGGCTTCGAAGGCGGACAGACGCCGCTGTACCAGCGCGTGCCCAAGCGCGGGTTCAACAATAAGTTTGCGACGCCCATGGAGACCTTGAACGTGGACAAACTCCAGCTTTTCGTGGACATGGGACGTCTGGATACGAGCAACACGATCACAATGAAGGATCTTGTGGACTGCGGCATCGTGACGTGCTCGCGCGTGAAGCACGGGGTCAAGTTACTGGGCAACGGCAGCCAGCACTTTACAGCGAAGCTGGACATTGAAGTCTCACAGGCGTCTGCGTCGGCGATCAAGGCAGTCGAAGCGGCTGGAGGCAGCATCACTTCGGTCTACCACAACCGACTGGCGTTGCGTGCGCTGCTGAAGCCCCACAAGTTTGACACGATTCCGCTGTCGGCTCGCCCGAACCCCAAGAAGCTCACGTACTACACCAACTACGAGAAGCGTGGGTACTTGTCGCCGGAGATTCAGGTCAAGAAAGCGCTGGCCAATGCCCAAACGTCGGAATAGATACGTGCCGTAGTTGGGAGCGTCGAAGTGGACGAAGGGGGGGGCGGAGGATGCAACAGAGATGGCAATCGATGGAACACGTTGCAGCGCCTTGTCGTTTTCCATGAGCTTGCGCGCGTTCATCTGTGAGCACTATGCGCATACTCACAAGCAGTCGCACACATTCTTCTTCTCTCAGTCAAACCATCTTGCTTGCCATCTCACTCGCCGCTACGCTCACGGTGCAAACAACTACTGTTGCAACGTAAACTCAATGCAGTACGAGGTCGACGAGTGTCCGACAAAGTGACAGTCCTACATAGAAAATGACAGTAATCTCCACTCCCTACAACTCACTCGATGGAAACCTCAATGACTCTGGCACAAAAAATACCGCCTCACCCGTAGTGGACAGAGAGAGCAAAACTCAATCGCAATCATTCATTCCCAACAGAAAAGAGCGCAGAGCTACTCATGTCGACTGAGATAGTGCATGACGAAAGCGCTGGCGGATCTGCTGCGTCTCGTGGTGACAGCGAGAGGGACGTAGGGACGGAGCAGCAGCAGTCGCAAGGGGAACAAGAACGGGGGCGCGACGAGTATCTGGAAGGGGTCGAGCGTCGTATCGAAGCGTACGAGAATTGTGCGGCGGCCATTACCGCTATGACGACGTGTCTCGAGGGACTTAGTGAGCATCTGACCGCCATGCAGCAAGCCACCCACCAGCTGAATTCCTTTACCAGTGGCTGGCTGGCGGTGTGGAAGCGGCCGTCCTCGTAGATGAATCGATGTCCGCTCGGGGGGTATTTAACACGGCGACGCAGTTGGGCTGACAATAGGCACAACAACAAGTGTGAAACGGGAGCAGCTCTGGCTGATGAGGCGCTGCTCGACCGCCAAGTAGCGTGGCAGTGTGCTGCAGTGTTGGTGGCAAAGCAGTAACTAGTTGGGTTGTGTTGTTGCCGGTTTAGTCGATCAACTCCATCACCAGCTTTTCACTATAATCGGTTGCAAGTCAGAACAAGTCGTGCGTCTTTGCGTATACAAGAGCTTCGATATGTAATGGTTGATAGCACATGATACTCTGTTTTCGATCATGTCGACTACGTACAGGCGCGCAAACACCTCACGTTCGCGTCAGCGGGCATCAGCTTATGACGAAGCTGAGTAAGGGGGTAGACCCCCGAGGTCAATGTCGTTGCCAGTGTTCATGACTGTAGGCTGTGCATCTCCATCTAAGAGCTACGTTGTCACGCCTAGAGCACCTAAATACCATACGACTCACTAGCAGCGCCACGGCCAATGGATCAACTCTTTCTTACTGCCACACATAGTCTGGCATATTCAAGCTGCAACTCTGCCGTCCTTCGTACGCTGCAGAGAAACATGCATTCGCCCTAACAGAAGCTTCGGTACACATGGCGAATCGAATTGTCAAGAAGCACATCGAAATCTCGAGCTACAGCAGAACTACGAAAGAATGGTAGTGCTAGGATAACAATGCGCGCCTGAGTCCCGAATTGGCCCAGCAAGTAAATCTTATTGTCAAAAAGACACGAACGCACAGCGCACGAATAGGCAGTGATGCGTACAACACATTTACATGCACTGGCAGCTGCAATTGTCGTCGTTGGCAACACGCATCTGGCTAAGTTCGACGTGTGTGCATGCATGCCTTGCAGGATCTAGCCGCCGGTGACACACTCAATATCGATCGTAGGGTCGGTAATGTCTGGTAGAAATTATACGAGACGCTATTGCTACTGCCGATTCGATCCCCTCTAAGACTTATTCGAGATTTCCAAACGATGATGTGAGCAAAATACGCTTCGACTAACCCGAGGTCTACATACAATGATGTGAGCAAAGTGCGTAAGGCTTGACGGGGGGGGGGAGCACTCGGAGACCCCTGTACCAATGAGCCAACGGTCTCTGGTCAGTACTGTATCGTCGGAGCATAACCTCTGAACGAGCGTGGTCCTCCGACGTGGGGACCTGGCAGGTGCAAGAGCGGTCCGGGTCTGTGTGGCATACAGAGCCCGAGCAACGTCAAGTCCGTCGCGTCGTACGATAGACCACGCACCCGCTAGCGCACAAAACGTAATTAGCACACCGGCAAGGGCCGTGTGAGCCTACGCTGAAGAGGACGGTGGCTGGATTCCCAAGACAAGCTGTATTACTGTCCCGGACCTAAAAACATTGTGTACTACGGAAGCGACAGGTGATTTGTATCAATCGTGCGGAGAAATCAAACGGCCGCTGCACGAAGGGCATTGACAATCTGTAGCAATGCGCTCGTGGAGAAGGTGCATGCTTGCTCAAGCGAGACCTCGTCACATGCGACGACAACAAATGCATCAAGCTGGCAATTGTGGTGTGAACCACTAGCGCGACCCGAGTCTTGGCATCGCCAGCTCGCACACAGAGCATCTTTACCTCCATTATAGGTGAGTGCAGTTGACAGATTTGTAGACGTTGTCATCCTTACAAAGTATCTTTACCACGATAAGCGTGAGATGCTGAGTCTTCATCATGCTTACCGCGGTACTAGCCTTACACATGTGGTAACGATTGCCAAGCTATAGAGGCCAATTGATGTGTGACGACGTCGACGGCCCATCGTCACAGAAGGTTTTGCATGGATGACACTCGTGATACTGACACTTGTCATGCTCGATAGGCAGAAAGTGTAGCTCTTGTAGCAGAGCTACAGCAGCTCCTTGTCATGAGAGGCTTAACTTGGAAGAGCCACCTATATCCTGGGTCTAGAGCACGACTAAACGAGTCAACGAGTTCAGAATAAACGACCCTAGAGTCAACCAGTCCAGTACGAAATCTCAAAGAGTCAACCAGGTCAGGGAACTGAAGTGTTTGGACTCGAAGAGTCAACAAAGCTCGCAGAGAAAATGGTGGAATGCATCAACAGCACAAGCTGCTAACGATTCCGCCTTTACAAGACACTCAAAACTTACGCCATAACAAGCGAACTGGTGTTTGGTTTGAGAGGGTGATGAAGCCCCGCATAATAACTCAAAATGGAAGATCATACTTTCAACCGGAGTAGAACTTGATGCGTGTCATTCTGGGTGGCTGACACGTATCCGCGGCCAGCTAAGGTGTACTTGCTCACTCATTCCTTTGTCACTCACGCTAACCACCCGAGTGTACCACCGCTACAGCTCTGGTGTTGCACTTCGTCAGCTGCGCGACCTCCAACCTGTATACGTCGGTGGTGGCACCGCGGGACAAGCGGAGGTCACCATATTGAGGTGCCGTCCCTCCAACACAGCAAAGCGACCTACTTCGATTTGCTGATAAGCATTGATGGAAGTGGTGTTGGTAGACGTAAGATCGCTCCCCCCTGCCACGATGGTCAGACGCGACGTCCAAGTCATGTCAAGAAGACTTGCAAACGAAATCGGACGCTCTGCGTCAAGACATTTGTCGTCTACCACTCGCTGTCTGACGTATGACAGCTATATGAGTCGCTACGGAATGCTGGATGCGGGTGCGTAAATCGCCAGACTCAGTTGCAGACCGAGCAAGGAATCTGCAGGCGCTGAATCGCCATCAAGCACGAAAAACATGACTTGGAGTCGGATTCGTGGTAGAAGTGCAGTTGCCCCGGATCAGGAAAAACTTATACCGCAGTGGACAGGCCGTCTCACGACCATCTTTTTGCCACGTCCCGCCGATGTCTGCTTGGCTCTTGTGGCTTCGCACAAGCTTGCGATGAGGGGACTACTTTGCTGCTGCAGGAGTACGGATGACGTAGAAGTTGACTCTGAAAAGTCTCAAGATCACGCAACTGCATACGAGTCACGAGGTCGGCTGGTACCACCGAGTCGCTTCGTACTTGACGTGCTCAAAGCGTGACTAGCGCCAACAATGCACATGGTAGGCGATGCGTCTACGCAACTAGGCGACTCGGCAGATATCCGCTTCTGGTTCTAAGATGTGGTTGTAACTTGCAGTCGAGTTGCTCAGCCGTATAAAAAGCTGTTGCATCCTTTCTGACGATTGTCCGTGCAATCGGCGTCACTCCACTCGCTACCACGTCATGGATTTCGACGCAAAGCTTCGGGTAGGACTATCACTGCAGCAGATGTAGAGCATGTGCAGATGCAAGTACACGTTTCTCTGCATTCATGTTGCACGAGGGCACTGTCGACAACTCACAATAACTCGGATATGACCAACGGGAGAAAAAGCATCACGCGGTCGTCGTCGGTTCAAGTGGGATGCGACTCGAGGGACCACACGAGGTTAGAACGACTTAGATCAACGACCAGCTGCAGAAGCTAGAGAGAGGAAGAAATGCAGGCCGATGGGACGACACAGCATCTGTCCACACACCAGCAGCTCACGTCCTGCCTCTTCGTCAATTTTTTCGCAAGGGATAGTCACTTTGCTGCGTGCGTTTGTCATTTACCAACCTTCCGCGCGAAGCGCAACCATGCACTGCTCAGGCGTTGTTATGCTGCTGCTCTATGCACTCGTATTGCTCACTGCTGTGCTGGTAAAAGCTGACGCGGTCACGGAAGCACTAGCCTCGAACCGGACCACGTCCGAAGCCGAATCGTCGGCTGTGACCCGTGACAAAGTTGACACTAGGAGGTTTGCACGACCTGACGAGACAGAGGAGAGAGCTGCTACCGGTTTCCCGAGCACTATGTCAACAGCAAAGTCCTGGCTCGAGTCATTCGGATCTGTGTTCAAAAACGGCGCTCGGGATCTTACTTCTTCGTTGACCAGTACGTCGAAAATAACACTCTACGCCAAGTCGTTGGGGTCGCGGATCATAAACAGCATCCGAGCTCACTACTGGCTACGAAATAAAGAATCCGCAGTTGGGGTCTTCAAGCGATTGAAGCTCGACACGGGGCTAGAAGAAAACCTGCTTAGCCCAAAGCTCAAGACATGGGTGACGTTCGTGGATGTCTACAACAAGCGCAATCCGAACAAAAAGGTGTCAATTGCTCGGATACTGTCCGATACGTACACGGATGTAAAACTGGCACAAGCGCTTCGAGGGCCTATCGTTCCTCGAGACAAGCGCCCGTTGCTCGCTCGGTTGGAGAAAGAACTGATGAACAACTGGGAACAGGATATACAAACGACACGCGACGTTTTTAGGCTGCTCAAGCTTCACGTGCCAGGCAGTAACATTTTCGAGCGTCCCGAGTTGAGTCTGTGGTACATGTACACGCTGAAGGTCCAAAAAGACCCCAACAGGTCAATGGCCAAGACGTTGTTGAAGCATTACAAGTGGGACGCCGTGGAGACAATGCACAAGAACTACAACAAACCGGGAGACTTTCGTCTGCAAGATAACTGGGTAAATCTGGGAAGAGCGCTCGCGCTGTACCGGCGTTCGCGTCAGGCAGTCAAAGTTTCTCGACAGGCTACTTCGAACCGCAAGCCGTTGGACGATGAAAAGTAAAGGGGAATGGAACGGCACAGCAGTAACTAGGACTATCAACAAAGTCGACCACAACGTGGCGCTATCTGAAAACGTTAAGGGCCCTTTGCGAAGACACTTGACACTTACTTCGTCGAACAAACCGAGATCTCGACGACGTGGCAACCGGCAGCAGCTACTTGAAGAGCAGGTATTGTGTACGTGTGAGCGCAGAAGCTACAGAAGAAACGCCGAGCAATCGCTGCGTCTTGACGCATGGAAAAGGCGAGTACTCGAGTTGAACCCAACATGCTCAGCAAGTAGTCTGTAAGCAACCAACGAGTCGTCAGCCGAGCTGCGCAGGCACTTGACAACCCGCCGGATAGTCATGGGCTTCATGCAGCATACGTGGCTCAAAGCACGATGTTGCAATGTGTTGCAAATCGCGTTTCCTCGCGTTGCGGCCTTTTCTTTTCCGCATGTACGTAGAGGTCAGACAAGCACAGCCGCAACGTTTTGACGTCCACTTGCATCTCGATTTGAGGCACTCACTTTGGTTCGCTCTGCTCATACAACATGCGGATAAGAGGCTGAGATAGGTTTGCGTAGCTTGTGAAGGTCTTGTGAGAGTCTTGTGAGAGTCTTGTGAGAGTCTGCGTGAGGTGGAAGCCAAAAGTGTCGTGACTATGGTTTTGTCAGGCACAAGCCGACCTTCACGGCAGCTGGACTTGCGTGCGTGGGTACGTCATGCCGAGACACCTTATGGATGGCAAACGAAATGGGCCATACGCGGTTGGAATGGTCCAACCAAAGTAAGACACGAGTGCGATCGAAAGGCATTTCTAGATCGCGGGCAAGTGCGAGACGTCTCCGAAATTGCTTCATGCTCTCTCGCTTGATCTCAGGCCCTCTGGGCGCTGGTCAGGAAGACCACAAGGACGATCTGAGCCAATTTCGCGTCCGTTGGGCCTACAAATCGATGGCGTCAGAAGGAGGTAATGGCCACACTCACGTCGCTCGGCGGTGGACAGAGCTCTCTCGCTTTCCCGCTTTCGTCGCTCAACATCACGTCGTCGTCGTATTTTTCTTGGTGCTGATGATGCACAGACAGACGCAATCGCCGTCGTCTCTCTTTGCCTTCTTTCTACTCTTCGACACACCGTGACGCTAGTGCTGGACTTGTCGTGACACTTGCAGCTTCGGTCCTATGCAAAGAGCCGATGGCTTGCGAGCAGCATCGCGCTGCACTTACTCAGTTGGACAGCGACATGACATCGTTCTGGGCACTCGCTGTTTCGCAAGAACGACGACACCAACGAAGAGATGGGTTCCTTCCGGGGCAAAAGCAGCTGCCGTTTGAGGGGTCGTAGCTCTTCTCACGGCCGCAGGATGCACACTCATTCTGCGCTTCTCATGACATCAGTCAACTGACTATAGCTCCATCGATAGAGCTGGTCGGACGTCATGCGGCGGTTGCCGACATGTTTACTATTGGCGGTAGAATTCACATCACTCACATCTGTGTCGCCCGTGTCTATTTACCGTGCAAGTGACCTTCTTCCGGTGCATTGGTCTGCAGTCAATACGTTAGGTCTGCGCGTGCACTTGACTGGACTTGCGCACCGTCGCATAGCAGTTACTTCAGGCGAGAGCCGTCTCCTCCGCTATTAATACAAATAAAACGACGTCCATCGCGCGAGTGCACCTCCGAATTGGCCTCAATAATAGGACCGATCGACCACTTGGACCAATCACACACGACTCGACACAAAGTATTGCAATATATGGGTTCTCCGCAATATATGGAAACCCCTCCGCCGACCGTAGTCGCCCGCCTCGCATGACGTCGACGACGGCCGTGCGCAAAGTCGTGCTCCTCGTAGGCTGGACGGCCATGACAAAGGAGTACCTCTTCGACATCAACTACGGCCTGGGCCGGTCCATGAGTCCGACGATCGCCGACGGCTCGTTCATTGTGGTCGAGCGACTGTCCCGACGCTGGCGCAAGTGGGAGCGAGGGGACCTCGTGCAGCTGCGATCGCCGACCCGTTGTCGGGGCGAAACCATTACGAAGCGGCTATTGGCTCTGGTACGCGGTTTCTCTCTCTCTCTCTTTCTCTCTCGCTCTATCTCCCTATCATGCTCCTTGAGGAGGGTGGATACGTGTTGCTATGGCTGTTGCAGTAGTGACTCGTGTAGTAATTTGGTGTGCAGGAAGGGGATGTCGTGGAGCTCCAGCCGCGTGGTGGCGAGGAGCGCAAGAAGAAGAAGAACGAGAAGATTACAGTGCCAAAGGGCCACGTGTGGGTCGAAGGAGACAACGCGACGTGCTCGGTGGACTCGAGGCATTTCGGCGCTGTCCCGGTTGCCCTATTGATTGGACGACCGTGTTGGATTGTACGTAGCGCGGCAGTGCGCTACCGATGTCGTGCGATAGTCGACCCACTGACTCACGAATGTGCTGCGCTGTTTCTTCAGATTTGACGCATACATACACGCCGGCGCAGTGGATTACAAGCGGAGCTATAGCTCTCAGTGACGGTGCAGCGAGATGCGCGACTGCAGTGACGTCCCAAAGAGACGGATGAATTCACACTCGTTACCCACTAGCTGTCGTTATCCGTTCAGGCCAGTTCGTGCTCCTGTCACACCAGGATACAATCGGCTGCTTTGTTGCGGCGCACAACCAACGGCAGCAACTCCATCGAGAGGAACAGCGGCAAGTAACGACACAGTGTCGGACTGCAACTGCTGAACCAGATGCCCCCCCCGTCACGAGCTGTCGGGTCTCTTGGTGCCGCAGTTGGCGCAGAAATTAGCCTCACGGGACGGATACGCCGTCCGACACTGCACACAACTGGACGGCCGTGAGCTCTCCTTCGCACCTGCATCAGCGCTTGCGTTGGCACTCGTCGCCTGCTGCTGTTTCGCTTCGTAGACGGAGTGGTAGTAATTCATGCGCTCGAGCTCTTCCCGGCCGTCCGCCAGGAGCATCTGCACGCGGTCGGGGTCCTGCGTGTTGACCTCGCAGCGGAACTTCATCCGCACGTACGTCTTCATCATCTCGCGCTGCTCCCACTGCGGACATCGACGCGCAGACCGCAGACACTGCGCGTAGAGCTGCAGCACGGGGCGCTTCAGCTTGGCCATCGGTATTGGCGCCACCGGATGGACACGGGCCGTCGTTCCTCTCGTTGATTGGCTGAAAGGCCCACGGCCCGCCAACGTCCGCCATTGGCCAAATATCGGCAAACGCCGCCGCACCGCTCCCTGGCAGCCACATTGACCGTCGTCATGAGCGCCCGCACGCTGAGCTTCGCCCTCCGAAACGGCATGAGCGCCACCGTACGCCGCGAGGCACTACCTGTGCGTGGAGGCCACGCGCACCGCCCGCCGCCGCCGCCGTTTGCGCGCCTCAAAGCGCCCGCGCAGCCGCTGCACGAAGAGGCAGAGCTCGTCTGGAACGACGGCGTGTCGCCCGAGACGCTCATTGACTTTGACGCGCCGCACATTCCCAAGTACACGGCGCTGCGCCACTGGCTGTATGGCTTGGGCTTCTTTGCGACGCTCATGGGCGTCGTGACGCTCTACAATCCCGACTCGTGGCGACAAGCGGTACGGCGAGGAGGGCAGACTGGACGAGCGCTCGCTGCTGCTGTGGGCTGTAGACGGACGCTGAGAGTAGTGCGCTTGTCGTGTTGTGTGTCTGGTGTGTTGATGTGGTAGGTCAAGCGTGGGACGTGCTTGCCGGATCTCAAGTGGGAGCTGGGGGAGATTGACGAGCCGGAAGGCGAGATGGACGAGTGAAGGCCGTGCAACAGAGAGGCAGGCGCTGGCTGTTCGAGCAGTGCACTTGGGGGGTGGGGAAGGGAGCGTGGACGGGAAGAAGCACACGTCATGGTACTGCTGCTGCTGCTGCGGGTACTGGAGCGGCTTGCGGGGGATGATAGCACGGGGATCAGATAACAGCAGCCCAGGAAAATAGCACGACAGATTTACCATGAGACTGTGACGTATGCAGGATGGAGATAGATCGGGGGTTGTCACCGGGGGAACAGGTACTATTGCAGGAGGTCGACTGCTGCGCGGAGGCACTCGCTGCAAAATCAATGCCGCCCTCGTCGTTGCCCCCGGCGCTACTCGCGTGTGCGTGCGACAGCGAGAGTCGGTCCCTTCACTCGTTTCTTTGCGAGTCAGCTTAGCGACTGTGACGGTTTTCGACTGGAAACGATCGAGTCGACGATGCCGAAATCTCGTGCCTCTTGCGGATCCATGAAGAGGTCGCGGTCCATTGCCTGCTCGATCTCGTTGATGGGCTTGCCAGTGTGACACGCATACAACCCGTTCAACCTGTCACAAGATACAGCAGCACCAACAGCAGCACCAACAGCAGCACCAACAGCAGCACCAACAGCAGTTAGCTTTCACCACAGCACGTCGCGCGCACATCATCAACTCGACCGAGTCCATCGGCTGACGCCAACAGGCGGTCGTACCGTGCGCGAAGCTTGATGATCTCCTCCGCCTGAATCGCAATGTCGCTCGCCATGCCCTGCGCGCCTCCAGAAGGCTGGTGGATCATGATCTGCAGCAGACACACGCAACAGGTCACTCGGTCACCTTCAACAACAACAACAACAACAACAACAACAACAACAACAACAACAACAACAGCAGCAGCAGCAGCAGAAGCAGCAGGAGCAGGAGACAGACAGACAGACAGACAGACAGACAGACAGACAGACAGACAGACAGACAGACAGACAGACAGACAGACAGACAGACAGACGCACTCACACGGGCGTTCGGTAGCGCCGATCGACAGCCAGGGGCGCCGCCAGCGAGCAGCAATGACCCCATGGAGGCGGCCTGTCCCATGCACAGCGTGTGCACCTGTGGCTGCAGGTACTGCATCGTGTCGTAGATGGCCAACCCCGACGTGACGATGCCCCCGGGACTGTTAATGTACATGAACACGTCCTTCTCCGGGTGCTCCGACTCGAGGAACAGCAGCTGCGCCGTCACGACCGCCGCCACGTCGTCGTTGATTGGCCCGTGCACAAACACAATGCGCTCCTTGAGCAGTCGCGAGTAAATGTCAAACACGCGCTCGCCGCGGGGCGACTGCTCGAGGACCATCGGCACGAGAGCGCCCAGCACCGAGTGGGACGAGCGGCGGACGTGGGCAGTGCCGTGCGTCAAGCGGCCGCACGCGCGGGACAGCAGCATTGGCGCTGGCGTGGCGCGACCTCTGATTGGCGAAAAGACGGGCGCGTCGGCGGAGTTGGGTGGATCGCTGGCGCTCGGCTAGTGCGATATTTACGGTGGTGGAATGTCACGAGGACAGTTGGCGAGCGCTGTGTGCGGTGCAAGAGCATCTCGGTGTGGGTGAGTGGAGTGGGTGGATGAGTGGGTGGGTGGGTGGGTGGATGAGTGGTGTGGGTGAGTGGGTGGGTGAGTGGTGTGGGTGGATGAGTGGGTGATTGATTGATGGATCGATTGATTGATTGCTCCGTTTCTAACCAGCGTGGTGGACAACTCACTGCTGGTGTCTCGTGTGTGTGTGTGTGTGTGGCGCCGACGTGGAGTGCGCGAGCGACATGGCCGCGCGGCTACTTCACCGCCGCCACTTCGTCCAGTGCCTGGTACAGAAACTTGGCAAACGTCGGGGCCAAAAGCGCTTTCTCGAGCGCTTTCGTCTTGTCGAGACTGCTGTCAATCTGCGCGAACCAAAAGGCACGACGTGAGCACAGCGCCATCGCAGAAGCTCCAAAGACAGACACTGTAGCCACAGTTTGTGGTCCAACCTGCGTCAGCGTCTGCGTCACCACAGGGTCCGCCAGCAGCTCTTTGATGCCGGCACTTGTCCTGAGCCCATTCAGCTGCTCCGCTGTCAGTCGCTCGCTCTCTTCGTCCATTGGCATCGGTGGCGCTGAAGTAACAGTCGGCACCGGTGGCTTCTCGAGTGCCGCGGGCGGCGCACACGGCGTCTCCTTGTGCGTCTTGCAGCACACGAGACTGCAGTAGAGCAAGCGACAGGTCGGGCACTTGTACTTGGCCTCTGTCGTCGTACACACTCCGCACAGCTGAGTCATGTAATGCGTCTGGTGCTGCTGCTGCTGCTGCTGCGACAACAATCGCCCGCTCGATGGCTTTTGCGTCGTCGACTGTTACTTTTGCGTCGGTTTGTGTCGGGCCTCGACGTTTTGGGTGGTGCCACTTTTGGTCCTATCTGGCGAGCGTTTGTCAACGGCCACTTACAAGCGCGGGCGGTCCGTGACTCCGATAGCTGATAATCGAACGTCCGTTCCATAAATGGACGACGCCCTCGCCTCGTGCCTCGCGCGACGCATTCATGGAATTCCCTTCCCCCTCTCCAACTATACCCCACATGCACGAGCTCCAGTGCGTCGTGCAGACCTACGCCTGGGGAAAACTCGGCCTCGAGAGCTCCGTCGCGCAGCTGAAGGTGCTCGAGTCGACGCAGTGTCCGCAGCGACTGTCCATCTGCTGACGCTTTCTACTGCGCTGCTTGGCGCTCGTTCGCTTGCGTGTCTGTAGGAAGCTGCCGACGCTTCGTTCACGGCCGATCGCGATACGCCGTATGCCGAGCTGTGGTACGTGGCACGCGTCGCACCCCATGGGGAATATAGTCCGTCCACCAGCGAGTGTGTTTCTGATTCGCTAGTCGAACGGACCTATTTTTGTGTATTTGGTCACTGTCACCAGGATGGGGACCCATAGCAATGGGCCGTCGCGCGTGTTGCGTGAAGGTAACAGCCACGCCTCGCCGCTGTTGAGCGATTGGCTCCAGACACAACGAGGTGGCAATGAGGCACGGGACCTGCCGTATCTCTTCAAGGTGCTGTCGGTGCGCAAGGCGCTGTCCATTCAGGCGCATCCGGACGTGAAGCTCGCGGCAGAGTTGCACGCCAAGTTTCCCGAGATCTACAAGGACGCCAACCACAAACCCGAGATGATCATTGCTCTCACTCGCTTCGAGGCGCTGTACGTACCCACCTCTTTGTTTCGGTCGAACTGCTGCTGACGCGTCAGTCGCACTGACGTGGATGAAATGGTGCGATGCCAGTTGCCAGTTCCGTGACATTGACGAGATTGTAGCGCACCTCGAGACAGTGCCAGAGTTTCGAGCGCTGATTGATGCAGAGGGTACGTGGGTGTTGATCCCTTTGTGTTCTGTTTCCTTGGGAAGACAATAGGTGCAGGACTGACGAGTGGTGTTGCAATGGATGTGTGACGACGGCAATGCAGTGACGCGGCAGTTGATAGCACAGCAGAACGAAGCGTCGCTGCGCGTTTTCTTTCGCTCCTTCATCTACGCCGAGCCGGTCAACATTGCTGCTCAGTTGCGGGCACTGCGCGCACGGCTTGACGCCTCACCGGGCTCGACCGCAATGGAGAAGATGGTGCTTCGCTTGGACGATGAACACCCTGGTGACATTGGCTGCTTTTGCCCGTTTTTGCTCAACTACATTGCGCTAGAGCCCGGCGAAGCCCTGTTCCTCCACGCGAACGAGCCCCATGCGTACCTGTCGGGTGACTGCATCGAGTGTATGGCATGCTCTGACAACGTCGTCCGTGCTGGACTGACTCCGAAGTTTATGGACAAGGAGACGCTGCACTCGATGCTGACGTACAACACGGGCAAGCCGCGCGTGTACAGGGGCGACGTCCAAGGTGCTGGTGTTGCACGGCTGTACAGCTCGCCAGCCCCCGAGTTTGAGGTCGAGACCGTTGAATTGAAACCCCGCCAACGGTATCGCCTACCAGCCCGTAAAGGTGACTCGATTCTTCTGGTCACTTCAGGCAGTGGCTCAACGATCGATCCATCTTGCACACCCGACGGCCAGCCGATGTCGAAGGGCCAGGTGTACTTCCTCCCAAAGGAGCAGATTTTGGAGATCATAGGCGATGGCGATGACGGTATTATAGTATTTCGCGCGTCTCCAAACGAAAGCTTATCTTCAACGTCGCGTGGCTGGAACGTCTCCGATAATTGAACGGCAGAAGCTCCATCACGACGAGAACCCTACATGGTATACGCGTAAGCAAGGAACAACTAATTATCCCCGCCGTGCTTGCACCACCTCTCTTCTTGTCTTTTATACATGTGTACATACATATACGGCCACTCATGCTCTTTCGTGCGGGTTCAGGTCGTCACTTGTCAGCATCAAGCTCTGCACGACATTCCGCATGACCCATTGTACCTCAGCTGGACCTCCAAGCTTCGGTACGAGCGCGAAACGAGTAGCGTTGTCATCTTTCGTCGATCTGTAGCCAGCCATTGGGCTTCGACAACCACTCGAAACAGAAGCAGGTTCCTTCTCCTCTGCTCTGCTGCTGTATCGCGAGTGCTCGTTGTCATCTTCGTCCCCTTCACTGACAAACTCCTCGTCCGCGTATTCGATGACTTCTGCGTCCGGGTCTTCAAAGTCGTCGCTGTACTGCGTTCCGCTGCGATCAAAGGAGGAGTCGTCGCTGTAAAAGTTCTCTTCGGCCTCGTTGTCACTCAGGGATGTAGCAGAGGAGACATCGCCATCGTCACTGTCGGCGTCCAGCTCCAGCGCCCGCATCATGAAACTCTCGCTCAGCGATGGCGCTCCCGTACTCTCTGATTCAGCGCCGTCGAATGACAGGGTGGAAGATTCCGCCATATTGCCATTGTCTTGCAAGTCTGCCGCTCGACCGATCCCGCGCGAGCCACGTGCCCTTTGTGTTGTCCGATCCCCAGCTCCGCTGGGTCGTAGATCTTCAGATTGTCGCTTTTCCCGCACATTGGGCCCAGACGCCTTATAAGCTTGGGAGTTGTAGTGTATCTGCAAGCTGTCGGTGCACTCCTCACTATACTTGCACTGGAAACTCGGGTTCATCAGTTCCTCAGTTCCCGCTCGAAACCGTGAGGCATCGGAGTTACCATCGACGTCTTCACTGATACGCGGGCACGCACCGCCATTCACGTGCGGCTTCTCGCTGCTTGTGTCCCACTTCCGTTCGACCAGCAACTTGTCTTCCGAATCCTGCTGAGGTCGTGATCGGACACGAGTCGCTTTGGGTATCGCGTCGGGTCTATCATCGTCAACTGCTTCATCACGCAGCGACTCTTCTTGCGGTGTTGCCATCGACGAGTACTGTGTCTCCTCTGTCACGAGTGCAAGCGGCTCTGGTGTAGTGCTGCGCTCTGGTGGACGAAAGTTCAGCTGCGACTCGTCCAAGACGCGCGCCTCCAGCATCCCGAGATCGTTGCACTCGTCCAGCTTGTCCAAGTCGTTGACGGGCGATTCGATCGGTATCCATGGCATCGGTGCAACTTCTGCTGCCTGGGAAGACGATCCAGCTCGAGCTGCTTGTCGCATTCTCCTTTTCTCCCGAGACGGACGCCGAGTCGATGGCTGTTTCGGGCGTCGCTGGTGTCTACTACCTGCCACGCCTGACCCATGTTGCGGACTTTGCGGTACAGAGTTTGTCAGCTTGACCTTAAGTGAGCCGCCGGAAGCCACGAGTCCCTGCATGTGGTGGCGGATAAACGGCATGGCAAAGATCTCGTCCATGCTAGGCCTCTTTGCTGGATCCTTGTCCAGGAGCTTGTGCAGCAAGTCCGAGACGTGGCGGTCGTAGCACGACGGTACGGGCGCAAAGTCTTGCTGCACGATCTTGAGGATGAGCGTGAGGATGTTCGGTGCATCGAACGCGTGGCGCAGCGCCAGCATTTCATAGAGAATGCAGCCGAGCGACCACACGTCGCTCGCGTACGAGTACGGTTTGCTCGCACAGACCTCTGGACTCATGTAGTAGGGCGTGCCGACCATCGTCTGCGCGTGGTCGAGCGTCGAGTCGAGCGTCTTGGCAATGCCAAAGTCGCCGACTTTGACCACGTTGGCCGTCGTGAGGAACACGTTGCTCGTCTTCAAGTCGCGATGGAGCACGCGCTGGTCGTGGAGGTACTTGATGGCCATTGCCATCTGCACGAACCAGTCGAGCACTTGGGCCAGGGGGAAGTACCCCCGTGGGTCGTCATTGTCCGTACAATTGTCCGTCCTATTGGTTTTGCCGTCCGCACTCCGACGGCCGACACGAGCGTCCCGCCGTGTCGCCTGCTGTGCTTTGATCCGGTCGGCCAAATCGCCGCCGTCGCAGTACGTCATGACAATGTGCAGCACGTCGTCGGCCTCAAAGTTGGCCTTATACTCGACGACGTTCGGGTGCTGGAGCTTGGCCAGGAGCTCGGCCTCGCGGAACGCCTGGTGCCTCTCCTTGGCCGAGAGGAGCGCCATGGGGATCTTCTTGACCACCAGCAGACGCGCTGCGTGGGGGCCCGAGCGCTCGCGCACCAAGTGGGCCGAGCCGTAGCTCCCGCGGCCAATGCACTGGAGCTCTTCGAACCGGTGCATGCGGCGAAAGGCCAATCGAGAGTGGCTGTCTCTCGGTCAGTCGGTCTGTCGACTGGTTTAAACACTGTGGAACAGATCGGGGGCGCACGCGACATGGAGGACGAACGCCGAAAAGATCGGACGCGCGCGCGGACCGCACACAAAGAGGCGACGACGGCGTTTCCAGATGGTCGACGTGGGTGGGTGATTTGGATGGGTAAAGTGGGTGGGTGATTTGGATGGGTAAAGTGGGTGATTTGGCCCGCTGCGCTGGTGGGTGGGACGAGTGGCTCGCACTGCGTCTGGTTGGTGACGAGCAAGTGAACTTCGGAGACACTCTCGGTGAGGGTCCTAGTTTAGGGACGAGACACGAACTAAGAGCTATCACGCAGAGAGAGAGAGAGAGAGGGAGCTGGCTGTTCTGCTGGAACTCGACCATCCCGTCCGATGTCGTCTTTATATGACAACACGGGGGTCGAGGTGCACAACTGTGGACCCTCATGACACGCTATAACTGACACAAGCGGACCATTCAATGGTGCTCATACTACACGTTCTATACACGGCATCTGTATTGACCAAGCGCATGCACGCGTTGCAGCAACGTCTCCCTCCGTAACGTCCGACTAGTTCCTCTCTCTCTCTCTCTCTTCTTGGTCGTGTACAGCTCCACGCCGCCTCCCCCAGAGTGCATGCAGGTTGTTGTTTACGCTATGGGTCGAGCATTACGACCCGCAGCTTCGTGCTGTACTTAGTGGCCACCCTCCTGTCCATGGTCGCCACCATGACGGGCCGCAGCGGCCGCCGCTGCCTCTTCCTTTTCTTGCTGGGCAATGACCACGTTCATACGCGTCAACTGCATCCACACACAGCAACAGCGACAGCAGACGACAGCCATCCACTGCGTCAGTACGAGAACGACACGCTACAGCTGCCTTCCCACCACGAGGCGCACCTCTTTCCGGTGGTGGAGGCACTCGAGATAGTCCTCCACTGGCTTTCCACACTGTCCAGAGACCTCAGTTTCTCTCTGCTCCGGTACAATTATCACACACATACACACATACACACAGACACATAGATATACACAGTCAAGAGACACGTGAGTCGACGAGTCCAGACATCACATCACATCATGTATTCCCAATACACAGAGACACAGGCAGATGACGCACGTGATGGTACGTACACTGCACTGCTCGACGCGCTTCCAGAACTGGTAGCACCGGCCCTCGCCGCCCTTGAAGCCAAACCCCGACGACATGCTCTCTCTCTCTGTGGCTCTGGCTCTGGCGCTGTGGTCGTAGCCGCTCGACTGATTCTGTCGCCGTTGTTGGATTCTAGCCAATCGAAGCACAGGACACGAATGTAAATACAGGATACGAGGCGTTTCGATTGCTGACTGCACATCGTGCACACGCGCATTTACGACGTGTTGTAAACTGAAGTAGCAGCAGAGGAGGGTCCAGAGTAGCAGCACTAGTCCAGATCGGGAGCGTCGCCACGCTGGAACAGTTTCAGTTAAGAAACGTCTGTCCATACCACGACCGTGTCCGCTTGCAACTGCCCTTCACCTGCCTCTCGTCTCATCCACCCAGGCAGCCATCTGATCTCACCAGTCCAGCAGTAGCGACTACGACTTGCGACTTGTCCATTGTCGAGCCATTACCGACTTGTCCACAAGCCACACACACACACACAGTGTCGTTCTCTTTCCAGTTATGTGGATCCTGCGACATGGTCCCACATGTGCGTTTCTCGCCTTTGTCTTTGCTGCAACAGCGCTACCCACTGCTACAGCCACACACGAAGACTCGTGCTCCTCGAGTGACGAGTGCTGTTCGCTCTGTGGCGATGACTCGGCACGCTGTGCCCGCGGTCCATGCAGCATGAACGTCATGGCACGCACTGTCTTTAGTACGAGTATGCCCATCAGCGACATTGGGTTCTGGGACATTGTCTTTACCTCTACAGTCTCGTGCCGTACCTCGTGCCTCTGGCCATTGTACTTGAAATGGGCGTCCACCGTCGCACCTGGACGCGGGTCGTTGCCTTTTGCTTCATCCCCATTGTTACACTCATCAACGCAGTCGTGCTCGTTACGAGTCTCGGCGAGTGCAGCGAGTGCAAACGTCCGTGTGGCAGCTGCGTCTCGAGCAATGGCTTGCCGTCTGGACACGCGACGAACGCTATTGGCTTCTCGCTGTGGCTACTGCTGGAAGCACTTGTTGGTGGTGGCAAACAATGGACAGCACGAACCAAGGTCGCTCGATGCGTCGCGGCGCTTGTGCTGTTTTTGCCAGTGCCGTACAGTCGCATGTACGTGGGTGACCACACGGAACTTCAAGTGGTCGTCGGCAGCGCCGATGGTCTCGTGTTTGGTCTCGTCTACTTCCTCCTACTTCGATACGTCGTAGCGAGACGACTGCCTCGTATCACCGAACGCATGAAAAATGGCCGGTGCCGGTTCATGGGCATGGTGAACGACTTTTACGTGGTGAACGACTTTTACGTGGTGAACGAAGACGGCTCGTCGTCGCTGTCGCCGTGTGTGACTCCTGGACAATCGTTTGTCCGCTCCGAGTCCACTGAGGATGTCTCGGCAAAAGTGTAGACGCTGCAACAATCGTCGCGTAGCGACGTCTGTATACGAATGAACAAGTCGGCGATGCTCATTCATCGCTGGAAGGCTCGTGCATGGCGAGAGGTGCTGGGTCGATCAAGTGAAAATACAAGGGGAGATCGTGTTGCAGGTTCTATACGACTGACTGATCTGTACGAAGCGCTTGTCATGAAACGTTGTTCCGAGCACATGTTAAACGAGTGTAGAGCGGACGAACGCTTATAAGTAGTGTCTGCACGTTGGCACATCATTGCGACATGAATGTTTTACAATCGATCATGACGACGTCGAAGTGGTCGACATGACCCGCTTGTTACCACTTAGCGCATCGTCAATATTTCTTCGCGCTGTGCTTTTTAGGGATCAATTGAAGATAGCGATCCTCTTTGGTGACTATGTGCCATCTGATCGCACTTCAATTTCCTCTAATTCGCCCATCAATGGCAGTCGACGAGGAGTAACGACAAACCACAGCGCGTATCGTACTCAAGCAGGCTGGGTACAGCTATGCACAAAGTGGAACGGGGTGAGCCTGTTGACACCAAAACTGTGTCAATGTGAAATTGATCTCACTGGTTAGTATCTTTCAATATTTACCTGGCTAGGTAAGTGTTAAAGAAATAATAATGTCGAAGAAAAATACTCGACACCGCTCTACTAAGGGAGAATAAAAAATGCCCCGTTTAATCACGAAAATAGAAAACAATGCCCAGATAATTGGAGAATAAAAAAAAACCACGTCCTAGTGTACTCAAGTTAATGTGGCACACAAAAGCAGAATCATGATGCAACTACACTTCAATTAACTCAAGCGCAGCACATCGATGCAAGTTCTGGTTCTGATTGTGATGGTGCTCAATGTCAATTTGTACAAGCACGATGCAACCTACTCTAACCCCCCGCAATAGGTGCTGGTAATTCAGAGTGCAAGTTGAAAAATTTCGTCGTTAAAATGGACCGTATCATTAGTTGTAAACGCAGCTCGGTAGGAGCAGTATTGAACTCGTCTTTTTCTAGCTACACGCACACACGTACATTGTCCGTCATTGAGCACCAGCACACGCGTGTTGCGGGCGTTCGTGCACGCGACCCCATCTGTAACGGGGTAGCCCGTTACATGATATTGTCATTAAGGATAAAATGACAATAAAGAATATTACGATGAATATTCTTTCAACAATATCACAGAGCATGATGATATTGTTGAAGATGACTGAAGGGACTACTCATTGGTTGATATCGTGATGATATCAACCCACCAATCGCTGCTAGACGCGCGCAATGGGTGGTGAGTAGACGTCACGATACATTCAGTTAGATTAGTATAATTAAGTCAGGACAAACAGAGATACAAGGGTTATAGGACTTAATTATATCAATAACAGTTTTACTTTTTCTACGACTAGAGTCGTTCACCTTTGTCGTTCTACCTTCCTCTGTGTAGTTCTACACCTAGCTGAGCACTGAATATCACAACAGTCAGTGATAGTAAACTCCGTACTGGTTGACCAGTACGTAGTTGTCGGTGCCCCGCTACACCATTCACTGCAACGACTTCATCTCGTGTCTTAATCGCTGCCACACACGACTGCATCGTCATCAGCGCTGATCCGGCTGCTGCGTCTACGACTCGAGCTCCGTCTGCGGCTGCGACTCAAACTTCACCGGCGTCGGAACGGACTCGGCGAGCGTCGACGTCGCCTGATGCGGAACGGCGACGGGCCACGTCGACTCATAAACGCCAGTGAGAGCGGTAATGCGATCCCACAAGTAGAACAACGTTGATTGCAACCACAGCACCTACAACAACAATAGCAGCAGCAACAGCAGCAGCAGCCTCGACAATAGCAACTAAAATAACAATAGGAAAAGCAACAACATTAATATCAACAACATCAGCACCGACTGAATGCGTTTACGGCTGCGCCCGATGATACGAAGACGCGTTTAGGTCCACATCTCTCGCGTCTGCGCCTGCAATTGGTGGTTGCAAGCGCAGCACGCCCGCGGCGGAACCCTCTACGCGGCTTCCCAAACAGGGCGGGGGTTAGTCACTGCCGGAAAATGGGAAAAAGAAAATGACCAAGGACGTGTGATTTTATGTGCACCACATTAACTTGAGTATACTAGGACGTGGGGCATTTTTTCCAATTATCTAGGGCATTTCAATAATTTTTTTGTTATTAGATGGGGTATTTTTTATTTCCCCCTCTACTAATTGGTTAATGCAAACCACTAAGCACCAATTTCTGCTAGACGTTTGCAATGAGTGGTGAGTAGACAAGCTATGCTAGGAATTTGTTCGTTTGTATAGTGACGTAAGATTAAAGAGAGCGTGTTAGGTAGATTATCGATATATCAATACAGTTCTACCGTTCCCTTCTACCGGACGCGTTCGTTAGAAGAGTAAGCCTTCGTCTGCATGTACAGTGTACGTGATTTTCGAGGCACGTAATGCACAGTGTCAGCGTAGGTTACGTGTTTTACGTTTGTACAAGAGGATGGGGTACCGCTTCATTGAGTGGATGCTTGCTGACTTCTGGCTGACAGTAGTGATGGCCAGCTAATTTGTAACGGTGCACGCTCTTACCAATTTACTTGCAGGACCTGGTGTTAAGAGAACACAAGGCTGCGTACTTCCGACGTCACGTATAAGTGGCATGGGGAAGCTCGAAGAAGGAAACAGAGCTAGAAAGCTCTGTTTTTAGGGAAAAGTAGAACTGTAGTTGATATAGTAAAGTTTACTAATAAATCATCTTTGTCTTGATCTAACAGTATTAAACTACAATTCCCGATATGGGTTTCTTGCAAGCCACCCTTTGCGCGCTTCCAGCAGCGATTAGTGGTTAATTTGGTTGATGTACACGGTATATCAACCATTAAGTGGAGCACACACAAATATTAAGTGGAGCTCCCACAAAAATTACCCTTGGGGATAATATTCCGTCAACATCAGCTCTTCTCGAGTAATGCTAATTGAATATTATGCGATAATATTCCAAAATTGATACATTTGTAACAATTTTTACGTAACAGGCTCACCCCGTTACATCACCCCCATACCCATCACTCACTACCGTGAGCTATTTATTGATTTGTAACAGAGTGGCCACCGTTTGGTCGCTCTGTATGAAAGGCATCACTTGTTGGTCCTTCTTTCTCATTCCGACTTTCCAGCTCATGACGAGTTCGTTCATGCGTTGCACGAACAAGGTCGCCACTGAAGCGCGCTGCACGGATGAGTTCAGCCGGAGAACAAGAAGTCCAAGACTCGGTAGCAGGCGTCTCATTTCCTGCTGCTACTAATAAGCAGCCTGCAACGTTCACTGTTGCAGCTGCACGTGGTTATCCACCTGCAGCTTCTTCATCCGCATATTCGACTGCGGATCGTAGTCCCATGGACGTCGACCCCGAAATAGAGGTTGTCTATTCAGGCAAGCCAGACCCCGGTCCGACTCGAAGTTGCCCGCAAAGACCGGCCGTAAGACTGTGGGTGCGGACACGACGGCTGCTGTGCCTTGTGGTACTTTCGACAAGACTCTGCGCCATGAAATATTTGGCTCATCCGAAGAGTCTAAGTACTCGTCGCGGGGATCGAATCGATCGCGCTCGCATTCATATGCTGCGAGTGTGCAACATGAGGACGTTATTCATCGTAGCCGTAGCAATTCTAGCGATTGGGGCGATCGTAGTGTTATTATTTATGTCAGCACTGCGCAAGAGGAGAGGGATCGCAAAGTTCTACGATCTGCTCCTGAAAATAAACCATATATGTGTGGTGCAGGGAATTTCGAAACGTGGCATTCCCTAATTTTGACTTGATTATAGGAGTAGTGAACCCGACGATAGAAGTCGTAGCAAATCTAAGCCGACGAATCAAGACTCGAAGCGGGAATACTAGACGATCAAAGACTCATCTAGGAAAGACTCACGAGGGAAGACTCGGCGAGAGTAGACTTAAAGAAGGAATAACCGATGAGTCAAGTCTCGAAGAGCCAAGCCGCGATGAGAGAGCAAGATGACGAATGGTCCATCCCACTAGGTATTAGTATATGATGTCGAGGAGGATGAAGGAAAACCACTCAAGCGTCCTTTGTAATTAGGAATAGAATAAGATATAATCAATACAGAGCTGACCGGGCTAATTTTCCAAGTCCAAGACACGTGTACACTTTTGAGGTAAGTCCCTGCGTGGGCTGGATTATGCCTGCTGTCAAGCCTCGAGGAGAATAGCTAGCAGAGGTCTCGATTGGAAGTGCCAAGCGTTAAGTCGGCCCGGGTTGACCGTTACTTTCTTCAAACGTAAGATAGCCTCGTCGCTCGGCGAGCCGGTGCCCTAGTAATCGGCACCACTTTAAATCTCGTCCCAAGGCGGGCCGGTGAAACAATAGACAGTACCGCTTTAAGACTCGAGAATGGCGGCGAATGGCGAGCCAGTGACCCAGTAGACGACACTGTCCAAAGACTCGTCAAGCAACGAGCCGGTGGGTCTTTAACCAAGAACACCTTAAGACTTCCAGTAGGGCGTATACTGCGCACGGCGATCTGTAAAAGCGTGAAAACGCCGACGTCTAACCATTGTTACGAGGTCACAGGATCAGAGGAACGGAACCTGCTGAGCTCAGGAGGTCGTATGGAAAGGAGTGTGATTGGTTGGAGGTATTCAGCGAAGCGAGAGCCACAACTGAGCTCGAAGGATCGAACCCGCGGAGGGGATCAATCCGACATACAAGCCCAACTTCGCCGACTAACCCGGCAATTGTTGTGTTGTAACGTTGAGACTGTATTGTCACAGATCTGGCTACCTACTATACCATAAATGGTGCCGCGACCCGGGAATTCAGGGTGTGCGATTGTTTCAGCAGGTGCCAAAAAGTAAGGAGCATTGTGGCCATCGAATAGAAAAAAGCAAGCGGCACGACCCCAGTGAAAGCAGGAAGGACTCCGCGTGATGAGTCGAACCCCGTGAAATTGATCATCACCCACGCAGA